AGTGAGGTCTGAAAATGCGGAGAATCCAAAGGTCCTCCTGAGGGAAGAGCTGGTTCCCAGGCTATAACACTCACCAGTAGCTTCTGGCCTTAAGCCATCCGTGGCCACCAACTGTATCACCTGAACCCAGCCCTCATAGCTTTGGGGAAGGCCCTGGTATTTGCCAAGCCACCATCTGAAAAATAAAGCTGGCTCTCTGCCAGCTCCCTTGGACTTAATAAACTCAAAAGGTTATACAAGCACTTTCATCTGAGCCTCACAATGACAACGTTGGTGACCTACCTGAGTTACATACCTTCAGCTCAAGTCTGGGCAATTCCATGTCTCTGCTTCATGGTTCCTCATATTTATGTTTTCAGAACTTTTTCTCAATTTGTAGAATCCACTATACCTGGATCTCCAGGAAGTTAATGATCTGGAAAGTGTGACAGAGTATACTTTCCCAGACTGGCTTCAACAACCATTCCCATTCCATATGGTCTTTTAGCATGACTTTGACCTTTCTCCTATTGGACAGTGAATCTATCTTCTCTCCCCTTGAATCTGGGAGGTTGTGACCATGGTGAAAGTGATAATGTGTGATTCTGAAGCAAGACCATCAAAGGCACTCCAGCTTCCATCTGGCTCTTTTTGATCCACTTAGAGTCCAGTTGCCATGCTATGATAGGAAGCTAACTAGTCCATAAGGAGAGCAAAGGAGAGACCCTTTGTAAATGTTCTGTCCAACAGTTCAATAGCCAGGTTCAACCACCAGGCAGATGAGTCTTGGAACAAGCTTCCAGATGAGGCCAGCCTCTAACTGTCCAGTGACCCCAGCCTGCAAGCATTCCTAGCTGAGGCTGTCTACAGAGGCCAGAATAAGCCACCCCTGATCTGTCCTTTCCAAATTCCTAATCCATGACAATGAGTTGGGAATGATTTCACCCTCCCATTCTGGGGGAAGATAATTCTGTAACTCTCTCAGAGATCTTGGTGGGTCAAAAGCCCACTGCCTAAAGCAGCTACCTTAATCCCACTTCCCTTCATGGAATTTCCTCCTTCTTCCCTGCTTCCAAACACACTCTCTACATATAAATACTTTGCTCTGGCCATTTTAAGAGGAATTCAACTAAAACTGGTCTAACGTTCAACCTACAAGTAAGTGTTTTTACTTCCACCTCCATTTTGCAGACGAAGAGACTGAGGCATAGAAAGGTGAAATAACCTGCTGACAGCCACACAGAGAATAAGAGTTGCATCAGGATAAGGATCTGGGACTTTTGGTTTGAGCCCAGCTAAAGAACTGTACAGGAGGGCAGGCAGGCAGGAATCCTCCAAGGCTTGCTCTCGGAGGCACAAGATGGGTAGGATGCCTTGCAATTCATAGCTCCATACAGTGGGCCCTTGGTTCATGAACTTTATTTATTCCACAATTCTGGAAAAGATGGCCATATTCTGTTCATGCGGGAAAGGTGGCCACAGTTGTGTTTGTCATCAGAACCAGAGTTCACAAACAAAACCACATCTTTGCCAAATGCTTCTGTTTGAACCAAATTATTTGCAAACAAAAGTATTCATGAACCAAGGTACCCCTGTACTTGGTTACACTAAGAGAAAAACCAAATCAGCAGAGCCTCAAACCACCAGACAGAGAACCTGCCCTAGAAGTCCAAAGGACCCCACCAGCCCCAGGCCAAAAAGGCTTCACAATTTACTTCCGCTCCAAAGTCATTTGACTTAAAAATCATTCTTCTTCACAACATCAATTAAATTGCCTACTAGTAAATTTAAAATTTACAGCTTAGAATCTTCAAAAAGTCAGCATGATGATGCTCTTTCAACAATTTTCTAGAAAATCTTTTTATAAAACACCTAACACCTTGTCAGGCACTGTTTTAAGTACTTTATCAGGAGTCCTTGAATCCAGAGGCACAGGCTTGGCCGACATCCTAGAGTTTGTAAATGGCAGAGTAAATGGAAAGATTATAAAATGATAAAAATTATACAAAGAAAAATTGAAAAAGTGCTGAACTAGTAAATGGTCACATTATAAATGGTATAAACTTTGTTAGTTTGCTCAGCCTCTGAAGGGCTGGGCTGCAACCAAAGTTCATAGGACCATACCATATTGAAAGTGAAGAAGCCATAGGGCTCACACAATTACACTTGAGGTACGACAAGCCCAGAGCAAAATTGCTGATGTGAACCAAGAGAATGAGTTCCTTGAGGCACAAGATGGGTAGATCCTAAGTGGTACAACATCTTTATTCTTCAGAGAAAGAACTGAGGCCCAGAAAGGATCAGTAAGTGCAAGGTGACACAGTTACAGAAGCTGAAAACAGATCCAAGGCTCTCTCCTCTATCTTCTGGATCCACAGAAGAATGGAGACCCACGCTGGAAAAGACAGGTATTTTCGGCTATAAGCCCTGAGGAGGTGGGCATCTGGCTAGAGAAGTCTGGGAGTTAGGATTTGTGTTAGTTACTTTTCTCTCCTTGCTGAGACAAAATACCTGGCACCCGAAGTTGAAGGGGGGAAGGTTTATTTGGCTTACAGTTCATAAAGGTTTCAGTACATAATTAGCTGGCTCCAAGGGAGGGTGGCAGAGGGGCAACTGTTCATGACAGCAAAAGCAACAAGAGGCCTTAACAGCATCTTTCTGCCCCTTTTATATTATTTGGACTACTTAGGGTGGGTAGCACTCACACCCTTAATCTTAGTGCCCTCAGGCCTAGCCCTACCAAGAATCGATCACAAACTCTAGATTCAGCCACCTCCAAAATAGCTTATGACCACATGAGGTTTTGGGGGACCATCTACGTAGAAACCATAACCTGATTTGACTGGGATAGGATAAGGCTGCTCCTAAAGATTTGCCTTAAATACGCGGCCAGTTAAGTGAAGCTCCATACGCGGCCAGTTAAGTGAAGCTCCTGTAACAGAAGTGTGTGCTATGAACCGTTATTGGTCTTCCAGACAGCTGTTGCCCAGGTCAGAAAATCTCCAGGATGCACAGACTGAGACATCCTCCCCCGTCTCATTGCCCTTTTTTGACATTCTGAGCAATGACACAACCCACAGAGGGAGAGGACACTGGGTTGGTAGGATTCAAGGATGCACACAGCTGGTTGAAACCACTCTTAGTTTTTTTTCTCTACCTTCCATCCCTGCCCACCCATCCCATCCTGCCCGCTGATAGTCACAGAACATGCACACCCCTGGTTATCCAGCATTTTCTCCAAAATTACTGGGAAAAAATGAAGCTCAACAGCAAGCCTGCTTCTGGATCATCTCCAAATGCTGAAATCAGGCTGGGAAGATGTCACAGACCTTCTATGTCTCTTTCACCTCTGGATTTAAAATCTTTTCCTAACCAAACTAATCTTTTTCACCCTCTGGGGCCCAGCTGCTCCTACTGAGGCCCCAGTTCACACCTGGCAGAGTTCAGGATCTGACAGGTTAGCTGGTGGTTGATCAACCCTAACCCATTTTCCAAGCCTCAGTTCTGTCTTTTCAGGACCAGGCCACAATGTTAACAGTGTTTTGGAGACCCTTCTTGGCAATGAGGAACTGAGATGCCTCATTCAGGGCACAGTACCTGATGATATTCACTCGAATTACTTGGGAACCAGCTCTTCTGCCCACCTTCCCAACTGAAGTCACACAAGGTATAGCAGTAGGTGGTATTCTGTAAGAATCTTCCCTGTGATAAGACCAGGGCCCTCCTTCCTGGTTTGACCTTCAACCATAACAGGATCCTCGGGTCTCACAAATTCCCTAGGTCCTCCATCTCCCTCAGATTCACTCAGTTCTGAGCCACCTGATCCTATCCCACGCCAGAGCCACTGCAGTGACAACAAAAATACCATGGCGTCCATCATCATTATTCCACTGGCACAGAATTTTCCCGTAAGTCATGTGAATGCTACTGTTTACTTTACAATTTAGAGTTGAGGAAAACTGAGGCTGATAGATGTGTTCAGGAAGTGAGAGAACAGGGCCCTGGCCCAAAGTACCCACACGGACCTGACCCACCGCAGCTCCGGGAAGAAGCATGCTGTCCCTCTGAACGTGGAAGCCTTGCTCTTGCCTCTTTCTGATAATTCTGCTGGCTGCTGTGTAAAACTGGCTAGACAAAGCCCAGAGACAGGCACCACCACAGTAGGCGGGTCACGGGGGGTGGGCAGAAGTAGCGGTGCAGTCCTCTAAACCCAGCTCTCCAGGGGAACTAGAACAACCCTCTGTCCCAGATGGGAACTGCCCCGACGACTGAAACCTGAGCTTTGGCGCTTCTGGGACCGACGCAGCGAGGATTCCGGCTCTGAAGCCACTGCCTTGGACCCAAGAGCCGGTTGGTGGCTCAGGGCAAGCAGGAGCTGCAGTGCCCAGGCCGCAATCTGCGCCCAAAAGGCCCGCGGGCCGTCCTTTCCCGGCAGGATTAGAGCACCTGCCTACTTCCATCTTCGGCCGCACAGGACGACCACCCGGCCAGGACGACGTTGGGGGACTACGGGGAAGTCTGCGGCAAGCCTAGTCCAATGTTCTCCCTAGTGACCTCCTTTCCTTCTCCCTGCTGTAAAGCTTTTCTGTGTTTCTTCTTAAAATCTCCTAGCAAGAGTATCACTACTCATCTTGGGAAACTTTGCGCGAACTTACAAATGCCATGAAATCGGAGTCAGCAGCTCCAACTGTGCCTGGGAGCGCCGCACCCAGCCGGATCCTCAGCTCCAGTCCGCGGCGACTGGCGGAGCCGAGCCCTGGTGACAGGCGGTCCCACCCATGGGTCCCCCAACTCTCTCGGACCCCCGTCCCCAGGCGCTTCGGGAAAGCTCCCTCAGCTGCTACCCGGACACAGCGCTAACCTGGACCCGGGCATCCCGGGCTCGGGGTGACATTTAAGCAGCGCCTCGGTCGCATTGCTTTCCCGGGGGCATCTCAGGGGAGGGGGAAGACTCGCCCACCACTCATTTGAATTTCAAAGGCAAACTTGTGCGGGACTTCCCCGGAGGAGCCGGCACCTACCGGCTTTGCACGGGTCGTGGTACCGCTCCGGCTGCGGGTCAGCGCCCTCCTCGCCTCCCAGAGTCGAGTAGTCCAGGGCAGTATCTGCGCGCTCCTCGAGCAACCCGGCGCCGCGGGGCAGAGCGCACAGCAGCAGCACCAGGGGCGGCAGCAGCGGGGAAACCAGGGCCCAGAGCTCAGTGGTCCTGGGCATGGTGGCGCGGGGTCGACAAAGCGGGGAAGGTGCACAGGGTCTGCTGGTGACGGTGGCTTGGCGGTCACGCGAGGCTGCCGA